CCTGCCTCAGCCTCCCAAAGTGCTAGGATCACAGGCGTGAGCCACGACACCTGGCCGCCTTTGATTACTCTTTTTTTTTTTAAATTTTACTTTAAGTTCTAGGGTACATGTGCACAACGTGCATGTTTGTTACATATGTATACATGTGCCATGTTGGTGTGCTGCACCCATTAACTCGTCATTTACATTAGGTATATCTCCTAATGCTAACCCTCCCCCCTCCCCCACCCCACGACAGGACCTGGTGTGTGATGTTCCCCTTCATGTGTCCAAGTGATCTCATTGTTCAATTCCCACCTATGAGTGAGAACATGCGGTGTTTGGTTTTTTGTCCTTGTGATAGTTTGCTGAGGATGATGGTTTCCAGCTTCATCCTTGTCTCTACAAAGGACATGAACTCATCCTTTGATTACTTTTTAAAATTTCTTCTTACCCTTAGTTTTTTCCTTGTTCCAATAATTTCCCTAGATCTGCCATACCAGCATTGCAAGAGGGCTTGTCAGAAACTCAAATGATCAGCCAGCCCTCAGAGTCTCTATTAGCCATTCAGCCAGCGGGGCCCAGCCAGCAGCGCTTTAGTAAGCCCTCCAGGCCATTCTGACTCTCCCCGAAGTTTTAGCACCATTGCTCTAATTCTTGAAAAGCCTTCGGCTGTTCAAGTATAATGTACTATACAAGAGCGGAAACTACAGACTTGCTGAGTCATCCTTCCTTTCTCTTGGTCACCCTAACCTTCCATTCACCATTCTGCCTGGATTCCATTCTGCCTGGATTCTTCTCTCGGCATATTTCTCTCGACATTTTCTCTTCCATCTTGGAATCCTTTTGCTTCTTCCTGAATCAGCACCTCGAGTTTGCTGTCCTTTTCCATCTATCAACATGCCCTACTTAAGACACTGTCACAAGTAAGACACTGAAGCAAGTAAGACACTTGCTTCCCTACCTGGGAAGCAAGATAGGAAGATACCATGAAAAGAAGAATTTTTTGGAACATTTTTGGCACTTATTTTTGTGAAAATGAGTAGTATATACACTCTACGTCTATAGAGCAGAGATTCACAAGCTTGAATGTGCAAAGGGGAGTTTGGTTTTTTAAATGGATGTTCCTAGGTTTCAGATTCTGGGATGTAGAGACAATGTCTGGGGTGGAGTCTAGGAATTTTCATTTTGATAAGTACCTCAGGTCATTTTGAAATTGGTGGTCCTTGCCTACTTTAGGAAGCGCTGAATCAAGGACGAGAATTGGGGTGGGGGGCAGGGCTCTCTCCTTTGCAAATTCTACATCCACTGAAAATCTATGCAAGAAAAAAAAAAGCACGGGACCTACATTTTCTCATGACATTTTTCATGTCTCTAGCGATTTGGTGCTTAGGAAACCTTTAAATCAAGTTCTCAGGCTCTCAAGATAAAAAAAAAAAGTTATCAACACACAAACAGTAAACCACTAATATAGGGGCAGTTGTGCTGTTAGGTGTGAAAATTATTCTTGAAATAATACTATCCTGACCAGCTACAGGAACAATCTTGAATAAGCTGATTACTTTTATACTTATATTCCTCTAGTATGTATTAACTGAGACACATAAAGTTTTATTCCTTCCAAAATTCGTGGAGCAGTTAGTTGTTACCTTGAAGGAAGTTATTTTTCTCAAATTACTGTTCACAGTGGTTGTATGTATTAGTAGGAGGATTGATACATAGAATACTTTATTGCCTGAAATGACCATGATTATTCATGTTGCCAAGATGCAAGATCACCCTGTGAACAGATCAACTTGCATCTTGGCAACATGCATAATGCAGTTCTTTTCTTTCTTGTCTTCTTTCCTTTCCTTCCTTCCTTCTTCCCTTCCCTTCCCTTCCCTTCCCTTCCCTTCCCTTCCCTTCCCTTCCCTTCCCTTCCCTTCCCTTCCCTTCCCTTCCCTTCCCTTCCCTTCCCTCCCCTCCCCTCCCCTCCCCTCCCCTCTCCTCTCCTTTCCCCTTCCCCTGCCTCCCTCCCTCTCTCCCTCCCTCCCTCCCTCCCTCTCTCTCTCTTTCTTTCTTTCTTTTTCTTTTTCTTAATTTTTTTTTTTTTGACAGAGTCTCGCTCTGTTGCCCAGGCTGGAGTGCAGTGGCATGATCTCAGCTCACTGCAACCTCCACCTCCTGGGTTCAAGCGATTCTCCTGCCTCAGCCTCCTGAATAGCTAGGATTACAGGCATGCTGCAAGCCTGCCTAATTTTTGCATTTTTTTAGTAGAGACGGGGTTTCGCCACATTAGCCAGACTGGTCTTGAACTCCTAACCTCAGGTGATTCGCCTGCCTCAGCCTCCCAAAGTGCTGGGATTACAGGCATGAGCCACCTCACCGGGCTGCATAATGCATTTCTAAACGCATTTTTTATTTGGGGGGCCAGTGTCATCAGAGTAGTTTTACTTGTAAAGTACTAGAACAAGTTGTTTTGTTTTTTTGGAGACACAGTCTTGCCCTGTCACCCAGGCTGGAGTGCAGTGGCGTGATCTCAGCTCACTGCAACCTCCGCCTCCTTCAAGCAATTCTCCTTCCTCAGCCTCCTGAGTAGCTGGGATTACAGGCACCCGCCACCATGCCTGGCTAGTTTTTGTATGTTTAGTAGAAACAGGGTTTCACCATGTTGACCAGGCTGGTCTCAAACTCTTGACCTCAGGTGATCCATCCGCTTTGGCCTCCCAAAGTGCTGGAATTACAGGCATGAGCCACTATGCCCAGCCAGTGACTACATTTTTTCTCTCATAAAATAGAATAGCTTTTCCCAAACTTGGCATTATTGACGTTTTGGTCTGAATAATTGTGTGTTGTTTTGTGCATTGTAAGATGTTTAAAAGCATCTTTGGCCTCTACATACTGGATGCAATTAACATCTTCCCCTCAAGTTGTGACAACTAAGTACTTCTAGACATTGCCAAGTGTCCCCAAGGGACAAAATCACCACAGGTTGGGAACCACTGAAAGAGAAACATGATGTTAAGACAACATACAATTCATGTAAGTAACTATATGAAAGATTTTAGTGCCTGTGGCCAAAGTGTTTTTGCTTTTTAAAAATTTTTATCTTTAGGCCGGGCACAATGGCTCAGGCCTGTAATCCCAGCACTTTGGGAGGCCAAGGCAGGTGGACTGCCTGAGCTCAGGAGTTCAAGACCACCCTGTCCAACATGGTGAAATCCTGCCTCTACCAAAAATACAAAAATTAGCCAGGCATGATGGCGGACACCTGTAATCCCAGCTACTCAGGAGGCTGAGGCAGGAGAACAGCTTGAATCCGGGAGGTGGAGATTGCAGTGAGCCGAGATCTTGCCACTGCACTCCAGCCTGGGCAATAGAATGAAACTCCATCTCAAAAAAATAAATAAGTAAAATAAAATAAAAATAAAATTTTTATTTTTATTTTTTAGATTCTGGGTTTCACTTTGTTGCCCAGGCTGGAGTGTAGTGACATGATCATAGCTCACTGCAGCCTCGAACTCCTGGGCTCAACTAATGCTCTCACCTCAGCCTCCCAAGTAGCTGGGATAACAAGCACATACCACTGTTTTTGCTTTTACGTTGAGTCAAGTGTGTAGCTTCTAAGAGTGTTCAATAACAAACAACAGTATTTCGTGAAATCTGAAATAACTATTCTGAACATATTGTACCTCTACAAAACATGAAGTTCTATTTCTTTTTTTTTCTGTTTTTTTTTTTTTGAGACAGAGTCTCACTCTGTTGCTCAGACTGGAGTGCAGTGGCACGATCTCGGCTCACTGCAAGCTCCGCCTCCCAGGTTCATGCCATTCTCCTGCCTCAGCCTCCCAAGTAGCTGGGACTAAAGGCGCCTGCCACCATGCCTGGCTAGTTTTTTTGTGTTTTTAGTAGAGATGGGGTTTCACTGTGTTAGCCAGGATGGTCTTGATCTCCTGACCTCGTGATCCGCCCGCCTTGGCCTCCCAAAGTGCTGGGATTACAGGCGTGAGCCACCGCGTCCGGCATGAAGTTCTACTTCTATAATATTACAAGTAAGAAAAGGTGGACATAGGAAAATATAAGCGGAAAAGGATGTTATCTCAGCTGATGACCACAATGTAAGAATTCAGAAACAGTATGGACCAATAGTAATAATAATATTATAACCGCACTGAAATGTTAATACAGTAGGCAATACTTAGTAACAAAATAGTTGTGCTGGGCATGCTATTACTTATGAGGATCCAGAGATGAAAAAACGACTGCTCTTTTTCTTTGAAAAGCTTACAGTTTAGTGGTGGTTTATGGACACATAGACAAACAATCATTGATTGACTTATAATAAAAAAGACTGTACTGGAAAAATTATGATAGAAATGTCTATTATTGACTTGTAAAATGATTGAAAAACAAATTTAAAAGACTTTAAGAGCCTTAGCTATGTGAACAGTGTAGTTCACACTCTGGTCAGGTTTCTGTCAACCTGAAGCAAAGAGGCAGTTCATGTAATTCAGATGAAGAGTCCCCTCTTTTGCTACAAATAAGCTTAGCATTAGCTTATTGGATGATTCAAGTTGAAGCAGTTGAATTATTTTGCTAAAATGATCAGGATAGTTTAATTATTCACTTCAACTGTGGAGACTTCAAAGTGCTGGGGTCTAATGAAAGGAACAAGCAAATGTCAGTTTGAAAGATTTGCGTTATTGAAATGTATTATGCATATTGTTGTATTTACTTTATGTTAATGTATTTAATATTGGCATATATTAAAGTATACCAGGGTTTTTAAATTTATAAACCATTTATAAACATATTCTGCTCTTCCACTGTGTTTTCTGGGAACTCTTTATTTCTTCTATGATACAATGACCTCAAGCTACTGCATAGCTCTGTATTAGAAAAAAGGGTTTAAAAAATGAGTATTTAAAATTCACATAAACATAGCTTCAGTCCTCTTTTGGTCAAGCAGGAAATAGACAAATTTGAATGACTGAGACCTTGGCATTGAGCTGGGCAGGAAGTCAGCTTTGGGACACAGCTTTGCCTTAAATTTATTGGTCTTTCTGGACTTGCTGACCTGAACAGACAACCACAGAATGTCAGAACACCAGTGAAATGGGATTGGGATGACATAGGAAGTGAAAGCGTGACAGCTACATATATTCACCAAATATTTCTGGTTCACCTGCTTGCTACCCGGTATCTGATAGAATACTATCTCTTGACTCCCTTATGGTTAGATAGGGTCATGTGACTCTTTCTGGCCAATGAATTTAAGCAGATGTGATGCATATCTACCTGTCTAAAGCATTTAATTGACTGAGATATTCCTGAGTTCTCTTGTGGTACAGTGATCAGCAACATTTGAGATATGGCATCAGCATGAATCTGCTGAGTGACTACTATGAACAGGGCATTCTGTTGAACTGTGACAGATGTGTACCATTTGTAGTTGTTTTTTGCTTTTTTTTTTTTTTTTTTGAGACAGCCTCACTCCATTGTACAAGCTGGAATGCAGTGGCACGATCTTGGCTCACTGCAGCCTCTGCCTCCCGGGTTCTCGTGCCTCAACCTCCTGAGTAGCTGTAATTATAGGCATGCGCCACCACACCCAGCAAATTTTTTTGTGTTTTTAGTAGAGACAGGATTTGCCATGTTGGCCAGGTTGGTTTCGAACTCCTGACCTCAAGTGATCTGCTAGCCTTGGCTTCCCAAAGTGCTGGAATTACAGGCGTGAGCCACTTTACCTGGTCCCATTTGTAGTTTTAAACCAGGGATTGGCAAACACTTTTTTTGTAAAGGAAGAGATAGTATTCTAGGTTTTGCACACCTTACTGTCTGTTGCACACCAACTACTCAACTCTGCCTTGCTATGGCAGAAAGGCAGTCATAGAATGGATGTAGATGGATGTGGATGTGTCCCAATAAAACTTTAGACATTGGTCAGGTTCTGAGGAAAAAAGCAGTGATTTTTGAAACTTTAATGTACACACAAATCTCCTGAAGATCTTGTTAAAAATACAGATTCAGTTAAGTCTGCTATGGAGTCCAAGATAGTAGTGACAGTGGTAGTGAGAGAGGTTGGGCTGAATAAACTTTGAGCTGCAAGGAGCTAAAGGATTATCATCTCCCTTTCTAGCCTCTAGGCCTGGCATAATTGCTCAGCGTGGTGCTAAGCATGGTTTAGGTGACTAAATTTTGAAACTAGTACTCCCCATCGAATGCAGCAAAAGCCAAAGTCCTTACCACGGTCTTTCAGGCCCTACAAGACCAGTTCCCCCCGCCCCCCCCTTTTTTTTTTTTTTGAGACGGAGTCTCGCTCTGTCGCCCAGGCTGGAGTGCAGTGGCGCGATCTCCACTTACTGCAAGCTCCGCGGCCTCCCGGGTTCACGCCATTCTCCTGCCTCAGCCTCCCTAGAAACTGGGACTACAGGCGCCCGCCACCACATCTGGCTAATTTTTTTGTATTTTCAGTAGAGATGGGGTTTCACCGTGTTCGCCAGGATGGTCTCGATCTCTTGACCTCGTGATCCGCCCACCTCGGCCTTCCAAAGTGCTGGGATTACAGGAATGAGCCACCGCGCCGGGCCAACCAGCCCCCTTTTATATGTTTGATCTCATCTCCTACTCTCTGCTCTTGCCACTATGGCTTCCATGCTGTTCCTTGAACCCAGCAAGCACACGCCTTCTTAGATCTTAGTACTTGGTGTTTCCTCTACCTGAAAGATTTTTCCTCCAAGGTAGCTACTTAGCCTTCTTCCTCGCTTCCTTCAGTACTAGCTCAAATGTCAGTAAGGCTTTCCCTGACCACCGTTTTTTCTTTTCTCTACCATTTCACTATCTGCCATATACTTACTTGTCTTCCCCTTACTTAGAATGTAAGCTCCATGTAAATATGTTTTGCTCATAATCCCTAGCACTTAAGAGTTCCCAGCACACAGTAAGGTGCACAATAAATACTCCAATGAATATATAACAGACTTTGCAGCTAACCAGGATATCTTGAGGTCGGAGGCTGCTGTTGTTTCTCCAGGCTCCCTCCGGATGCACTGTTGCCAGCCAGCGTTACTCATTTCATTCCCTAGGCAACAGTGGGCTTGGTAGAACTCTCTTCTAAATCTCTTTTTCATAGAATTTAAATTATAAATTGGTCATTTACTGTTGTCGCACAATATTGCGTTGCTGAATTTTCCACTGATTATATTCATTTTATTTCCTTCCAGAACTTGGTTTCTTGTTTCTCTGCTCACTGTCCACACCCATTCCACTCCAAGGCTGGAATAATTCTCTTGGAAAAAAAAAGTAATCGTTTTCTTTGTATTTCATTGAACATTCCCTTTACAGTGTTAGGTAACCTGAAACAAAAGGAAACAAAAGTCTAATAATTCGTAATACTCAGGCCTACTGGATAGATAACATCATAGGGTAGCTGAAGACTCTGAGGCCAGAGCTTTAGGATTTAAAAAGCCACCAACCATGACCGTGTCCGACACGTTCTACAGAGAACTCCTAGGTTACTGGGTGATTGTTTGGTGGGGAAGCGGCGAGTTGTCTTGTTTTCAAAAGACGTTATGGGGTATGGAGTTTGCTCGCTCTGCATACAGAAGGAATTCTAGAAGCCGGGATTGCACCACCCACCCCACGCACCCCTTACTTGCAGAAACCTTTGCCCCCCAACCCCCACCCCCACCAAATAAGGGCTCTTCAAGGGGCAGTTGCCAGCTCCAGACCCAGCTGCTTGACACCTATTGTCCCCGCTTGGGCGTCAAACGATTTCGCCTGAAGGACCCTAGCGTTGATTGCTCTCAAAACTCAAGGCGCCTTTCCCTCGGCCTTGGCGGGGCCATCCCCACCTGCGTCCAGGAGGCGCCCCACAGCGCAGGGGCCAGGGGACAGCAGAGAGGCTAGCAGGCTGCCTCTTCCAGGCAGGCGTTCGCGCCGGGCAGCCCGAGCGGCCGCGAAGGCCCCCGCTCTCCGCTTCTCCCGCCCCCCGCGCCCCAGAGGGCTGCTGGCTGGCTAAGTTCCTCCCGCTCCCGGCTCTCGCCTCACTAGGAGCGGCTCTCGGTGAAGCGGGACAGGGCGAAGCGGCTTGCGCCCACGGAGCGCGCGACACTGCCCGGAAGGCACTGCCACCCTTGCCCCCTCAGCTGCCCACTCGTGATCTCCAGCGGCCTCCGCGCGCGCACGGTGAGCGCCACCCGGGACCGAGCCGCTGCAGGGGAAGAGGGCCGCTGCGCCCGAGTGTCCTTTATCTCCGGACCTGCTGGAGCTTCCGAGGGGCTTGCCCCCAAGTCCCCCCACCCCACCCCGGCCATTTCCCATGCCCTTCTCTGCCCCCAAGACGCGGCCTCTTTCCTCCCTTCCCTGGAAGCCGGCGAAAGCCGGCCCTCCCAGCTGGGGACCGTTGCACTGGCCGTTGGCGGCCGGCGCGGCGATGCCCCGCCCCCGGCGCGAGCCTCGGAGCCGCGGGGCTGGTAGGCCGAGCCGGCGGCTCCGCGGGGGAGGGGCGGGTCGGGGGGCGGTGCGAGGCCCGGCCGGGCGCCCCGCTGGCGGGTCGCGCGCGCGCCCGCGCACTCTTCCTGCCCTCGAGGCGCGCCGCGCCCCCTCCCCCACCCGTTCGCGTAGGCTCCCGCCCGCTGCGCGTTTTGTCCCGCGTCTCGCCCCGTCCGTCTCCTGACTCGCCGCTCTTGTCCTTCCTCCCGCTTTTTCTTCTCTCCCCTCGCGGTCTGAAGATGCCCTCGGCCACCAGCCACAGCGGGAGCGGCAGCAAGTCGTCCGGACCGCCTCCGCCGTCGGGTTCCTCCGGGAGTGAGGCTGCCGCAGGAGCCGGGGCCGCCGCGCCGGCTTCTCAGCACCCCGCAACCGGCACCGGCGCTGTCCAGACCGAGGCCATGAAGCAGATTCTCGGGGTGATCGACAAGAAACTTCGGAACCTGGAGAAGAAAAAGGTGCCAGGAGTTGGCGGGGAAGGGAGGGGTGGCTGCGGCCGGGCTCTGCGCCCGCTCCGACCCTGGTCGCTGGAGTCTGCGCTTCTTTCCGTCTCGGGAGCGTTACTAGGTCCCCTCCTCCCACCCCCTGGTCCCCACGTCCCGTCTCCACGTTCAGCGGGAGCTTCGTGCCCAGAAAACGGGCTCCTGGAGGAGGCACTTGTCACCTGACTCGGACGCGGCACTGTCCCCCAGGCCTCTTCATTACTCTTCCGCTGTGGGTCTGGCTTTTGGCCTTTGGGAGTGGGACATGTGAGGGTGGGGGCCTGTCGTCAGGACATCACTGTATGATGCCCTTCTCTCCGTCTCCGAGACCCGATTTCTCTGACGAGGGCCCAAAATGAAGAGGTCCCTGCGCGGGGGGCTCCGGGCTCAACCAAGCGCCTCGTGGAGTTGGGGCGGCCTGTGTCCTGTAGCCTTGCGGTCTGTCCGCTCGGTTACCATGCATTTGAGACCTGTCGAGCGTCCCCTTTTCTTCCGTGGGAGAGAAGTGTGTTTAGAATCTTAAGGCAGAACTGCCTTTCCGGCAGGCCCATTTTGAATGGATCTTCGATTTGCTACCCCCGCCCCCATGCGATGGGCTCCCCTGCGTTTCCCTCTTTGTTTCAATTGTTTAGGTGTCCCCCCGAGCCTCACGCTCAGCTCAATCGCGAGATGATTTTCTGCAGCGACTTTTTGTTCCTAGGGGACTCTGAAGGGGCGGGGGACTGCCAGGATTTAGATTCGTTGGGGGCTGGGTCCTGGGGAGACTGGAGAGGATGGCTGGGACTCGGGGCACATGGAGAGAGCGTCTAACATGGCGGCGGCTGCGGGGAGAGGGAAGCGCTTTACTGGAGCTGCATTGTGAGCACAAAGCGAAAGCAGAGGGGGAGGGCAGAGACCAGGCAGCCGCCCGGACTGGCCTCCTTAGGCCCCCCTCTAAAAAGAAAAATCGAGCCACACCCACGATTTTTTGGATTCAATATTTAGTCCTTGTAGATCACACTACTGAGGTATATCTTCATCTGCAAGTCAGCCTTTTGTTTTATGCTTTCATCGCAGGACAGTGTAAACTCTGTTTAGAGGGGCGTGTGTATGTATGTAGAGAAAAGGTCTGGGCAGAGTGAATAATTAAAATGAGTAAGATCAGAGGTGGAAGGGGAGAAACAAATTAGTCGTTTGTGAAAACGAGGTAATTACGTCTGTGACTATCATGTTAACTTGAATTTTACCTTGTAAAGTAAAATGAAAGTTTGATAACTTCTACTGTCTGCCTCTAGGAAAACATTTTTATAACATCTTGAATTTCCAGGAAATCATTTTGCAGTGTTTATGTAGCCAGATACCTAATAGCGTTACTTAGGTGCTGATATAGTAACTGGCTAAAACTTGGGCTGTGGGAAATAAGTTGAAGAAAACTGGCGATGTTTAGGTCTTATTAGTTTTACGTATTTACTGATATATTTTACATTTTGGGAGAGTTTTAAAACATTTAGATTTGATACTTCCTGTCTCCTCTTCAGTATTAAAGGTTGGGAGTTTTACTTGAATTTCATGGACTTTATTTGAAATTGAGAGATGTTCTAATCTTGGGATTTCTATCTTTTTTTTCCAATCATTTATTTTGATAAATGTGTGTTTTGTTATAGGTATTTGGAATAGTAGATGTAGTTACATTAACAAAGTAACAAAAGTATTTTTTTTCACTGTAAGCTGTGAGGTAGCTACATTCAAATGTTGAGTGGTATAAGCATGCCCAAGGCCAGTATCTTCTGAGTCTGACACATGATTTAGTTTATCCTGTTGAAATTGAGACTAACTTGGGTATCTTCTTAAATTTTTTTTTTTTTTGAGACGGAATTTCGATCTTTTTGCCCAGGCTGGAGTGCAATGGCGCAATCTCAGTTCACTGCAACCTCTGTCTCCCGGGTTCAAGTGATTCTCCTCCCTCAGCCTCCCAAGTAGCTGGGAGTACAGATGCCTGCCACCATGCCCAGCTAATTTTTTGTATTTTTAGTAGAGACAGGGTTTAACCATGTTGGCCAGGATTGTCTCGATCTCTTGACCTCATGATCCGTCTTCCTTGGTTTCCCAAAGTGCTGGGATTACAGGTGTGAGCCCCTGTGCCCGGCCTCTTTTTAAAATTTTAATGCAGTAAGCAAGCCTACTGATCTGGCTGCTACTTGAATTTTTGATTCTTCAGAAGTTCTTTGAAATATTTTCTTCTAGGATAGTAATCTGAATGTAAATATTAATTATGAACATTAATAATGTATTAATACTAATTATGAACATTAATGATTAGTGATATAAAGTGTAGAGACATTAATGACTGAAAGATAACTCCTCAAAGAAGTTAATATAAAGGTAGGTGCTGACTGGCAGCCAATCTAGTTGTGAGGTGGCTTTTAGAATCTAGTGTTCACGTACTTCTGAAAAAAAAATATAAATCTAGTTTATAAGCCCCTCCTGAGGACTTGAACCGTGACTGGTCATTAAATGTGTATAGGTGCATGTGAATTACTATACTCTGTCATACCCTACCCTCAAGTTTTTTTTATTTTTTGAGATGAATCTCGCTCTGTTGCACAGGCTGGAGTGCAGTGGGACGATCTCGGCTTCCTGCAACCTCCACCTCCCGGGTTCAAGTGATCTTCTTGCCTCAGCCTTCTAAGTAGCTGTGATTACAAGTGTGCACCACCACCCCAGGCAATTTTTTTTTCCTTTGAGAAGTCTCGCTCTTGTCCCCCAGTCTGGAGTGCTACGGCTTGATCTGGGCTCACTACAACCTCCGCCTCCCAGGTTCAAGTGATTCTCCTGCTCGGCCCCCCCAAGTAGCTAGGGTTACAGGCGCCTGCCACTACTCCCAGCTAATTTTTGTATTTTTAATAGAGACAGGTTTTACCTTGTTGGCCAGATTGGTCTAGAACTCCTGACCTCAGGTGATCCACCCGCCTCGGCCTCCCAAAGTGCTGGGATTACAGGCGTGACCCACCGCGTGCAGTCAGATTTTTTGTATTTTTAGTAGAGACAGCGTTTCACCACGTTGGCTAGGCTGATCTCGAACTCCTGACCTCAAGTGATCCACCCGTGTCCACCTTCCAAAGTGCTGGGATTACAGGTGTGAGCCACCATGCCCGGCCTCCCCTCAAGTTATAAAGGAGAAAATAATGTAATTATTACATAATTAACTAGGCTAATCCATACTGAAAGATTGCCATGTTAATAATGGAGATTTAGCAAACTGCACAGAGTAACTTTTTTTTCCTGTTGTCTCAGTGTTTTAAGTGGTAGATAGCAGTAAAAAGGTCCTAAGTTACAGTTAAGTCTTGAGACTTTTCTGTAAGCCACAGATGGAACTGTACCCACGTAAGTAGTTAAGTTGGCAGTATTGATGTTGACTTAATTGCTATTAAAACTATATATTTTGCCTTTTGAAAAACTCAGGGCATTTGGATTTTCCCTAAATTTAAGCACATCTGGTTTTTAGTTTAAATCCTTTTTATATTTAGATGATTTACTTGTGAGAAGACTTAACTGTTTTTAACTATAAGTGAGCATTTCTAATGCACTAAAATAGGATTGCTTTACAAATCAGTTTTGAATTCCTCTTTAGAAACCCTTGTGGAGTAAAGTGAGGTACTGTTTACAATTGGATTTGTTTTGACTTCAATCCATTTAGCAACTTACATTTGAGCTATATTTCAATCTTGACCTATTATCGGAGCCTTCTGGACCAAAATGCTTTTTTTATGGATTTTAAAATCACGTATCCTGGCAGAAATGACTATGGATATGTAGTATTGCTTAAATTAAAACAGATAATTGAAATAATTTTACTGTATTTTAAAAAACAAAGTTGTTTATTTTCTAATAATT